TTAATGCTTGAAAGTTGGCAAATCTGCTGGGATCGATAACGCTTAAATTTTTAGGAGAACACGAAACGTTGTAGCAAAACTTTTTTATCAAATTGCAGAGACTACGGCTAAGACAGCGCTACACCAGGAAACGAGGTTTTAAAATCTCTGCATAAAAACGCAGGCCAAAGAGAGGGCTCCCATGATCGGGACATTATCTTGCATGTCCTCTGGAGAAAATCTCCGCTGGGTTGTTGGAAAAAATGCGTTGCGGAATAAATGATCGAAAATCCAAGGAGAGTAGTGCGGCTTCAAGTCATGCTGAAACACCTCGGACAAAATTTTCCCCTAGGCCACATTACTGAGAAACCATGGGAGTTTGTTCATTCCGTTAAGATGTGCTTTATTGATCTGGTGAAATCTTATACCAAATTCCGGGCAACACTCCATGGGCATACCTAAGAACATATGGGATCGATAGCCAGTTGCTAAGGGCCATTCAATCACTGAATTCTGATTGCAGGTGATGTGTCAGAGTTAATGGCGTTAAGTCGAAACCATTCAACGTTCGCATTAATCTCCGCCAAGGCTGCGTCCTATCACCTATTCTGTTTGTGTTGCAGATGGATAGAATAGTCAGGAGCTGCCAAGGTGATGAGGGTATCGGTGTAGGAGATGTGAAGACGAGAAAGTTGCTGTTTGTAGAAGACCTCTTTTTATTAGCATCTTCTCTGATCTCCAGTGCTCCTTAGAAAGGTTCGCAGCCGAGTGCGACGTGACCGGCATGCGTGTGAACGCATCCAAAACGAAAAGCATAGTGCATTCTCGTCCTCCTTCCCCTTGCACTCTTATGATAAACGGAGAAACAGTGTGGAATATGGAGAAAATCGGGTATCCTTTGATCTAGTGTTTACTGGTGATGGAAAATGAAAAGAAAAGATCAATCGGAGAATTGCCAGCGGTGCTCTGCGTCAATTGGCCAAATCTGGCTTCGTGATTTAGCCAGAGCCTGAGTCTCACCAAGAAACAAAATTAAGTATAAAAACAAACATAATTAAATACCGAACTCTCGGATTTACTAGCAAAACTGCTAGTTTTCGATGCCCCTATCAGGAAATAAGATTTTCTGTTAATTCCGAATATACATGACGAAGACGCACTGTCTTTTGCTTCGCTCAGAAGACCAATTAGGCAAGCCACAGCCCCGTGGAATTTCTTGAACTGCTGATGTATGCCAATTCTGCTCTTCACAAGGAATTCTCTCAACTAGCTGTTCAGAGATACGTACATACATACATACATACATACATACATACATACATACATACATACATACATACATACAT